CATCATTTATTTATATCGTAAGGGATTCCCTCCCCCCAATAAAAAAATATTCTTAAATTATTTGGTTTCTTTTTAAGAGATTATCTAGGAAGGAAAGAAGGAAAGAAGGAAAGAAGGAAAGAAGGAAAGAAGGAACGAAGGAAAGAAGGAAAGAAGGAAAGAAGGAAAGAAGGAAAGAAGGAACGAAGGAAAGAAGGAAAGAAGGAAAGAAGGAAAGAAGGAAAGAAGGAAAGAAGGAAAGAAGGAAAGAAGGAAAGAAGGAAAGAAGGAAAGAAGGAAAGAAGGAAAGAAGGAAAGAAGGAACGAAGGAAAGAAGGAAAGAAGGAAAGAAGGAACGAAGGAAAGAAGGAAAGAAGGAAGGAAGGAAGGAAGGAAGTAAGGAAGGAAGGAAGGAAGGAAGGAAGGAAGGAAGGAAGGAAGGAAGGAAGTAAGGAAGGAAGGAAGGAAGGAAGGAAGGAAGGAAGGAAGGAAGGAAGGAAGGAAGGAAGGAAGGAAGGAAGGAAGGAAGGAAGGAAGGAAGGAAGGAAGGAAGGAAGGAAGGAAGGAAGGAAGGAAGGAAGGAAGGAAGGAAGGAAGGAAGGAAGGAAGGAAGGAAGGAAGGAAGGAAGGAAGGAAGGAAGGAAGGAAGGAAGGAAGGAAGGAAGGAAGGAAGGAAGGAAGGAAGGAAGGAAGGAAGGAAGGAAGGAAGGAAGGAAGGAAGGAAGGAAGGAAGGAAGGAAGGAAGGAAGGAAGGAAGGAAGGAAGGAAGGAAGGAAGGAAGGAAGGAAGGAAGGAAGGAAGAAAGAAAGAAAGAAAGAAAGAAAGAAAGAAAGAAAGAAAGAAAGAAAGAAAGAAAGAAAGAAAGAAAGAAAGAAAGAAAGAAAGAAAGAAAGAAAGAAAGAAAGAAAGAAAGAAAGAAAGAAAGAAAGAAATTTATCTATAAATTATGATATATTATATATTTAAAATTTACCGTTGTTGTCTTCATCCATAGGGTAAAATAATTATCTGGTTTGTTTTTTGTAATAAAATAAACTCCTCTAAAATAGCATCCAGATGTAGATACAGACAGATACTTTTATAAAAGGGTATATAGATACATATATCACATTTTTATTACAACTCTGTCAAAATCACTTATAAATTATTATACCCAAATAAATAGTAACATTTTCAAATATCGTTTTATCAAAAAATCATAAGATATAATATAAAGAGAAGAAATAACCCCATATTGAGTGTTAAACTTAGTTTGAAATGAGTCCCCTTCACTCAAATTTTAAAAGCTACGGGGAACGGGCTCATCCTTTCCTTATTAATAATCTCCGGAAAAATTAATATTAATACATTTAAAAAGGATAAATATAATAATAATTTTCATGTATAATGTATAAGTAACTTAAGTGGAACAAAAATAAGTAATTTTATTAAAATAATTAAAACAATTTTGAGTTATTTGAGGAGTTTATCTTTTTAAAGCTCTTATGATATTCGTCATCCCCTACGCCTATGCTATGAATATATTAAACAGTTTAATTGAGTTTCAAACACCGTGTAAGGGAACAAGATTCTATCGAGTTTTCATTAATATATGTTTATCATTTACACATTCCTTGATAAAGTTAAGATATATAATATTTTATCTACTATTATATTTATATAGGAATTACAATATATAAAATACTTTTTATATATATATATTTTTATATATGCCTATTATCTGAATTGTATTTTTCTTTTATCATTTAAGGATAATATACGAATGTTATAATGTATCAAGTTTCTTCTTCCACCAAAGATTACATTATCTTTCAAAGGTTAAAAGTTTTGCAAAAAATAAGATAAAATTAGAAGACATGCTGGCGATAGATTAAATTGTAATCCATTCGATACATGACCATTTAAAGAATTGGAGCACATAATTGCGAATTTCTTACCATACTTTTCCATTCATACCGAATAAAATTTTATTATAGTCCCTATAATATATAACAAATAAAGTAGTAATTTTTGTAAAATTCGGTATCAAGTTGGGAGCCCTAAGCTTGTTTCCAAAATCGCATGAAAACTGGGATATGAACTAATTATTTCAAAAAAATAATAAAAAAAATAATTAATTATAATATATATTTCAAAGATCTGCGGATTCGGATAAAATCCGGTAGTAAAAACAAACCCGGTCTGGGCTTAAAAACCTGGTCGGGTCGGGCCGATTTAAAGTATATTATCAATTGATCGACTGGATAATTATATATTATTTTTTTTATTTAATTCCTCTCTCTCCCCCGCCCTAAGAGTTTGAAATTAAACGATTTTTTTAGGTTAAAAAATTTTTACTTAAATCGGTTTGAAGTTTCGCCAATGTAGTTCAATCTACGGGTAGCGTCTTCCCCTATTCATTACCAATAGAAGCTAAATGATGTATAATAAATATTGTTAATTATTAAATTTACATTTTTAAACGGGTTTGGAATTATAGGCTATAACTGCAAAATTGTTTTTGAAATTTAATTCTTGAACTAAGCCCCGTTAGTTTAAATACTCCGATTTATAACTTTTAAAATGATAAATAAATATTGCCCGTGAGTACTAATTGGTTCACAGAAATCGTTGCGATTTTTACTAAATATTTCCCTCTGGTATTGTTATTACATTGCGTGTCACTCATTGAATGCGTTATCTATAATTCTTAATGTAGTTTTTTTTAGAAACCTGCAGAGGTAAGGCCCGGCCCGGATTTTTTTTCCAAAAATTTTTTCCGGCCCGGCTCGACCCGGATTATTTTTTTATAAAAAATTTTCAGGCCCAGCCCAGGATTTTTTCAAAATATATTTTATTTATTTTTGATTTCTACAGCTAATAATGGCGATTTCAAATATTTGGTTTTAAAATATATATCAGGCCCCACCTGGTCCAAGTAAATTTAAAAAAATTAAATACCCGGGCCGGGCTTAGAACCGGTCCTGCAGGTTCCTGGTTTTTTTTGTACAGTTTTTAATTGAATGCCTATTTACTTCTGAATGTATTATTTGTTTTATTACATTTTCATATATTTTTTATAATCAATTTTATAATAAAAGAAATGTATAATTGTGTAAAAGATAATATGCAAAAAAATATATATATTAGAAATAATGGTACACCCAAACTCAAAAAATAAAAGATTTAAGCATCTGTCTAGTTGACATGTAAAGCAAAAATACGTCATCGTCTTTTTTTAAATTATTCTTGACCTTAGGACTAAATAACCATGTTAAACAAGGAGGAGATCCCATCAAAATTTACTAAACAGCTGTTTCTACTCTCAGAAGAACTAAGAGTAACCCCTAAAATGATAGTAACCCTTCTCTTAATTACCACTTTTATAGGATTTTTGGGCTCACCTACCCGTTTTAACCCTAAAAAGAAATTAATTTTTTTTTTAAAAAAAACCCTCCTCAAAGCTAGAAAATTAGCGGAACAAGAAAATAAGTTTGTTATTTTTAAGTTTTTTTTATTTGAAAATTATAATTTACAGCATAGGTGTGTTAGCCAGGGGAGGAAGGAAGGATAAGAAAGAAAGAAAGAAAGAAAGAAAGAAAGAAAGAAAGAAAGAAAGAAAGAAAGAAAGAAAGAAAGAAAGAAAGAAAGAAAGAAGAAGGAAAGAAAGAAAGAAAGAAAGAAAGAAAGAAAGAAAGAAAGAAAGAAAGAAAGAATATCTCCCTTGAAATAAATTTAAACCTATTATGTCACTTTAAAAAAATCAGCCATATATAAATATTAGTGTTGTTATTCAAGTTAGGGTTAGGGATTTTAACCAAAATCTTATTGTATAACGTTGGATTCGCTCATAGATGATTTTCCAAATCTGTAGCCTTGCATAATACTATTTTTGGTTAAAATATTGAATTTGGGCTGCTTATCAACTAGATTGCTAGGGTATAGATTTGTAATGTTTTTTTGATTATTTATAATTAATTTTTTAAAATAATTAAATTAATGTTTTTTTCTCATTTTTATTACTTTTTTTTTTTAAAAAAAATAATTTTCTCTTTTAAAATCTTTTTAAAAATGATTTTCGCCGAAATTTTAAGTACATAAATAATATAGAATAAAATTACCATTTTCTTGATATTTTACTCTACTTGTTGATTATGGTCTTTCTTATGTCACTTCTTTATTAAATTTTAAAAACCGATAAATTAAAAAGAATGTTGCAAGTTAACTTATATATTAAATAAAATAGTTTTGTAATAATTTTTCATTTTATATAATTTAATATTAAATTTTTTTATTTTGACAGCAAATATAAAAAAATGACCTATAAAAAATATATGTTTTTTTATATATTAATAAATAATTTTATATAATAAAAATGTGTATATATAAAATAATTTTTATATTTTTAAAAAAAATAATTTCAAAGGCATTAATGAAATGACTGACTTATGTGACCCACTTATAACGTGATCATTGTCTGACCTGGCCTCTAAAAATAAAATAATATAAAAAAATATTAAAATTAAATTTATCCATATAAAAAAAATTTATGTCATTTTTGTTTTGTTTACAAACTAGACATTTTTTTTAAAAAAAATTATAAATTTTAATTTCAAATAAAGAAAAAAGAAAAATCTCTGAGGATAATTGTAGCGTGTATATTTTTATTATTGTTATCATTATTATTGTATAATTATAATTATTTGTTTTTTATACGATATGCAAAATTATTTAAAAAGTTTGATTTTAAAACAGGTAATATATAAAAAATAAAATAATAAAGGATGGTGATAATGATAAGAAGATAATAAAATATAAAAATAATAATAATTAATAAAACAAATAATTAATTTGATTCCTTGTAGAAGTTAAATTTCCTTACCATATTGAATTATACCTTGAATTGCATAAAATGCTAATCCACTGTGCATAAGGATTCAAAATCAATCTACAGGATAAATAGTTATACTCCTTTCAAAATTACTTTTCCCGCGTGCTATCAAAACATTCCGATTCATATCATTTTTTTCCTCATTTACCATTCCAAAATCCCATAATTCGGTTATAGATATTCTTGAGAAAGAAAAAGTATTTTCTGGAAGATTATCGAAATAATATATTTTTTTTCTGAAGGATTTATTCTTCGGATATTTAGATAGAGAAATAAAAAAAAAGAGAAGGTAAAATGACAATATATTAATTAGATTTAGTAATAAATTTTTCGATATAAATTGATTATTAATAAATTTTATATAATCACTTAAACTTATGCACTGTTTATTACAATTCAATTTTCTAAATCGCTTAGCTAAGAATTCATTAAAAAAATATATAAAACTTTCGAATTAAAATTGTTAAAAAATTGTATAAAAATTGTATAAAAATTATAAATTTATGCGTTCTCACGAAATTTTTTCTTGTTTCTCCCCAAAAATAAACAAAAAATTAATAATTTAAAGAGGAAATATAATGTGTCCATTTTATCATTGAAATAATTTTTTGGATATATCTTAGCCCTGAAGATTCATAAAAATTTCAATTAATTATCCATATTAACAAGGATATGCATTTTTTATTATTACGATTTAATTTTCAAAAAAAAAATACAATAAATAAGAGAATTGATGTCTCTTAATAATAGAGGACTTTTGCAAAAATATAAAACTATGTATATTATTGTTTGTAATTAGTGTTGTTAAACTGCTCGATTCGAACAGATCTTTAAAAACGGCTGATATTTTGTCATGGATAATATGTTACATAGGATTAAGGATTTTGCTCATTTTTCGGGCTTAAATATTGAGTTCGCTTTTAAAAATGCTAAAATAGAGTTGTCTTAAGTTTAATGATATAATTTACGCTAATAGATGCCAATATTTAAGAAATTCTTTTTTTTTAAAAAAAATTAATATTCTTAATAATAAACAAAAATTTATCCATTTTTTTTAAACATTATAATATTGCCAATATAACTTATATCTTGTGAAGTTGCATAATACCGATACTTTAAGCGTATCCGCTATCCATCATTTTTTAAACTTGCATATAGCCGGGTGTTTGAAATAAGGTAAAATTATACAATTTTAAAAATAAGATACTTATTTGAAACGATCCTTTTTTTATAATAACAAGTTTTTGTAAATGATAAACTGCGAGTTAAAAATGAATATAATTTACGAACTTAAAATGCTAATATATATGACTACTACAACAAGTAATATTTTTAATTATAAAAAGCTTTATAAAAACACTCAACTCTTCAAATTAAATAAAAATCATGAACACAAGTTAAATAATTATATGAAATGAATCGATCAATGAAGAATTTAAACTTGATAAGGCTTATTTGTTTTTAATGTTTTGGGGAAAATTGGAATTGTATCTTAAATTTGCCAAAAAAAAGGAAAATCAATATTCGAAATCAATTTTCAGCTGGCTCTCCAAAGTTGCTTGGAAAGAGAGAGAGAAAAAAGATTGAATTACAGGATTCAAAGCTTCTCGCTAGTAAATATACCAGGGAATACAATAATAGGCTTCATAATAGATAGGTGCATATAGTGAAAATGGAAAGTACTCTACCTATTATATTATCTTATCAAATGCAAATTGATAATTTATTTAGAAACAATGATTGAGGTTATTAAAATTAGTAATTGAAGGAATCTGTAACTAATATAGGCTCGGTTCAGGTTCAGATAAAAATAAAGGTTCCTGATTCAGGATCGGTTCGTAAAAAAATGATATATTCAAACCTGTTTCCAATACAAGCATATTCGAATTATATAAAGGAAGGCACATTTTTTTAACATTTTATCACTACAAAATAATTTTAAGATTCTATTCTGTATAATTATGCCTTATGAGACGGATGAATAAATTTTAGGCTTGGGTAACTGACCCTGCCATATAACAATATACAAAAACATCTCAAAAATAATGACTGATATCTATCAGTCAAAACAGATTACCAATCATCTTTAAAAGAGTTAAAGGTTCAAAGCGATTCACGTATATTTTAGAGGTTCGGTTCAGATTGGAGTGACAAATATTTTAGTGGTTCGGGTTCGGAAAATAATAACTGTTAATAGCTGTTTAAGAGATAGGCTGATATTTAAAGATTTAACGCCATCTAGTATGTAAAAAATAGGGTTTTATTTATATTTACAAAAAAGCATTCCATTAAAAATTCATGTAAAATGATTTTTTTAAAAAGGATGTTTAAAACAAACGCCACTTTGTCATAAATTTTAAATTTATAACTTCAAACTAGATGGGGTTAAAAATTTTTTAGTAAATATACCATTTTTATTTGATTCGTAAATCTACAAAATTAAATATTTTATGATTTGTAATTAATCAGTTATAAGGTAATAAAGTCACATAAACACATTTACTATAATATTGCCTTACTCATCTTACAATTAAGATGTTTAAAATTGTATAACATTGCAGGTTGGATAACTTGTAAGTATATCAGTTTATTGTATTATTTCAAATCGTTCAAATATTTTTTGATAATGAAAATGGAGAGTAACAAATTTCGTTTAAAATGGAGACGACATAGATATGATTTTTCCCCAATTTTAAAACATTAAGATTGATAGGGAATATTTAATTGAGACACTAGAATTCGTTTTCCTGATAATAGGTTTCATTGAGAAAATTCCGTTAAATATTTTCATTTAAAAAAAAAAGAAGAGATTTATACAGAGTTAATAAGTCAATTATAAATATATAACTTATAGTGCTTATAAGAAGCAACGTTTTGCGATATTGAAAATATGGGCATTCCGAATGCTATCGTTTATATTGATAAAAATGTTTTGTAATAAATTTTTATCTTTAAAAATACCACCACAATTTACACAACCGCCAATGCTAAACATTTCTGCCCATTTTCTAAGCACTATTATATACATTAGCTAATTTTTTCTATTAAATTATCTCTATATCAGAAATGGTTGAGTCATTTCAAATCATCATGGAAATAAGAACTATGGGATTGGACTGACCCTATTTTTCTCACTGATTGGTTTGGTTTAAATTTACGAGTAATATTCATTTTCACCCAGTAGCCGTCACTAGGGGAGAGAGGGCGTACAAGGACTCGACCCCCCTGAAAAATTTGAAAAGGCCCCTGAGAATTTAACTAATCACCCTAAATAATAGACAATCTCTCCCAAGAAATCTAATTTTTTTTCTCTTTTAGCTTTTACCTTTTCTGGTGGTAAGCTCCTTCAATATCTCTCTCCACTTTATGTTATTCATGCTTATCTAATTTATACTTCTTCATATTGGCTCTAACTTTAAGGCCCCATTGAAGTTTTGGCCTTCCTCTTTTACGTTTACCCATCACTTCAAACTCTCAACCTTATTTCTTATGTAGTTCATAGGCCTTCTCATTGTATGCCCATACCACCTAAACCGTTATCTTAGTCTTAATAAACTTCCTAGTATTCTTGTACTTCGCACCTTATCCTTTAGAATTTTAAAAATTAAAAACTATTTAAATAAAAAATATATTTATTCTCTTTTGTTAATGACATTTCTTTATAAGTTATTGTTTGTTAACATAAATTCCCGTTTCTTAAAAGTTATAATATTGAAGAGTAAAAAAAAAAACTAATAAAAACCATAATTAACAAATAAAACACTGTTAAAAAGGTAAGGAATCAATTTCTCATTTACATTATGAATACTATAAAAAAATATGTCTTTAATTTAAAAAAAATTAAACTATAATTTCTTTGATTCTAATTGATAAATCGCTTAGCTTAATTGATTTGAATTAATTACTTAAACTTTGTTCTTTATATTGATCATTAAAAAAATTTTTATTATAAAAGTTAATTTAATTTTACGAGGAAGGGTGGGGGGGGGGAGGGGGTGGTGATAAAATTTTTTTTATAAAAAAAAGCTGGCACTAATAGGTACCTGAATAATGAGAATATATTATATAATATCATCTATTACTATATATTACTGTATAATTGTAACGTTAATATGTCATTATGTATATATATAATATAGTATATGTGTGCATTTGAGAAACAGTGATTTTTATTAGCATTTGGCTTTGCGAAACCACTATTAAATATAAAATAATGAGATTTATTTTCTAACAACTATCTTATATAAAAATTTAAATACTATTTTTTTTACACATCATCGGAAATTTTAAGGACTCGTTTAGAGTATATCTATCATCGCTCAATATATGTTTTTTTTAAATGAAAAATCTAGGCACAATAAAATACGGTTTTTTTTTTACAAAACGAAGCCAGAGAATTTTTTATAAACGTGCCCATAAAAATTTAAGATAGAACTTTTTAGACATAATTGCGGTTCCTTTTTGGGAACTTGATTATAAAATTGTATTTTTAATTTTTATAAGGGTTTTAAATTCATCTTATATTGAAATAAAAACTTTTTTTCGCGCAGTCATTGCACATTATAACCTATTATTTACTTGCTTTTTTTTTAAATAAAAAAAATTACCCAGTGTCGCGCTCTTACTTATAAACCAGGTCAAAGTGGGACACAATGCGATATTATTTATCTAGAGTTTATAGGGAAGTTTTGATTTTATTTGAGCCTCACTTTTAAAATCCGCATAATCCCGCGACCTCTCCTACTAACATCTTAAATATAGTAAATAAATTAAATACGATACTTTATATATTTATTTCCGGGGTCCATTTATTGCGAAATTTATTATTTAAATAAACCCCCCCCCCCACCCACCCCTCATCAGATTGCCATTATAAAAACTTCTTTTTTTTTAAAAAATATATGTTAACTATTGGTTAGGTATAGTTATTTAATTCCATATCAAAGTTAAACGGCTCATTTTAAGCCGATTTTTTAAAACGGCTAACTCAATATTTTAGCCAGAATAATAGTGCCTAAGTCTAGAGATTTCTATAATATATGTCTAGACCTTTGTTCCTTCTGTGAGCAAAATCTTCAAGCTTGCATAATATTTTTCTGGATTAAATATTGAGTTGGCCGTTTTTAAAAATCGGCTCAAAACGAGCCGTTTAACAACACTAGTCGTACCATAGCGATGATTCCATGCCCTACTCCAAGTCGGGTATGGAACTTAACGCCGGACTATAAATCCTCTTTTAAATAATAATATTTACATTATTTGTCAAGTTTTCCTATGTTTTTTTTTAAT